TAATAATAATGTATGTATATATTTAGGTATATGAATATGTATATGCATGTATGTACATATAGACATCCCTACAAGACATTGCTGAGCACTTTAGGCAAAAATTCTCACACATTTACACTTTTGTTTTTGTAGTACGGCATAAATGAGTAGTTTGACTATTAGTACTGAGGACTTTCTGATGACAACATTGAGGGGAAAGTACTCAATTTTTTCCCATGGCCTGAACGAAAATGAGGACTTTGATAAGCACTTTTGTGATTAGGAATAATGATAATATGAGTACTCATATGATACTCAGCTGTCTTGTAGGGATATATGTACATGTATGTATATGTGTATGTATATACATGTATATATATATTCTAACAAGCGAGCCGAAGGTGGTAACACTAGTGCTCCATCTGAATGTAAAGCAGTGGATTGTCACTTCTTTTCATATATATAATAATAATAATAAAAGGTGGCCATTCTTTCCGGAAAAGTAAAAGCTTACTGCACATCTACATATCAAGCCCTATAATTTGATACCTCATTTTTGAAAATGAAACGATTGGTTCAGATCTGATGACCTGGACAAAAAGTCCTTACGTGTATTATATATATAGATATAGTTAAATTCGACTTTTTAAACAGGCGGCAGCCCCTTTGAAAAGTAGTTTCGCGCTAAGATATTCTTAAATATTCTTCGTCTAACATTGCGATACATATTTTAACCAACTGATGAATTAAGTTGAATTATATTAATTAAACATGTGGCAACTCCGCTAAATATAGTTCAGAAATAAAGATTTTTCAACCCCCCTTCGATTGATGCCCATGTTTTAGTAATTCATTTAGCATGTTTAATAATTTGAATTTAATTTTAAACAGGTGGCAACCCTCTTCCAACACCTCAAAAATATTTTGTGTGCTCAAACTAAAGTCTTCTTAATATTTTTTCGTTTTACATCATTATTTTAATATTTCATATAACTTCTGGATAAGTTAATTAAATTCGACATTGCAAGAAGGTGGCAACCCTCTTCAAAATATTTTCAAACGGCCACCTTCTGAAGCCCCTTTCGTTATGCGCCTATATGTTGAAACATATTTCTCCGAATTAATTTTCTTGAATTCAGAATTAATTAATTTTTTAAACAGGTGGCAACCCTCCTAAAGTTAAGTTATGAAACAAATATTTTCAAAACCTTTTCCACTGATAACCATTTTGTAATAATTGATTTTTTTAGATAATTTGAATGGAATTTTTTTAAAAAGTAGAACCTTGTTGCATATCTTCAGTCCAAGAGTTTTAATTTGACACCTTATTTTGGAAAATCAAACGAACGGTGCTGTTATGACGGCATTGCTTATTATATAGTTTATATTCAATTGTTCTACAGGTGGCAACTCCTTTCGAAAAAATGAAACCAGTTATGAAATGTAATATATATTAATTTATAACATATAACATATGAAATTATGCCATAAATGATATAATAATTAACAACAAATACTCATCCGATGACATCGTGCTAACAAACGAACACTGCGTATTCACAATACAAAGTAGTGATTGACGCGTTTATTTGAACGTTTGCGGGCAAGACACGAGCGAACCTCACTCACACATACGCAATGCTTGACGTATTTATTTGATTGTCTCCGTGGCGCTTTATGAATAAAAAAAATAAAAATGTTTTTTAATTGAATTGGATATGAAAATTTACAGAAAAAAATATTTTTCGCGTAATTGAAACGTTTGCATACATATAAAACGTACCCTATGGTACAATTGTCACAAACGAAAAGCAAACGTTTCTCGTTGGGGAAAATGACAGTGAATCTTACAATTTGTTTCTGACTATGTACAAAACTCTATAAAACCACAAATGCTATGATGATCGATGAGCAAATAGGAATTGTTTTGTACATTTTATTTTCGTACCCTGCACGAAACACAACCTCAACTTCTGTAAGTAAATATAAAGACTTAGCTTTTTTTGTCACGGGTGGGACGAGGCTAATATTGCTTAATAATAACTCATAATATATATAAAGCACTCACACAATTTAATATATAACACAATTTTATTTAAAGCAGGAGAGTTCTAATGTATATTTTTTTCATACCAAGCACTTGAATTATGAATCGCAAATTATTTGACAGTATGTACTTTGAACACAACCTATTTGAAACTCACTCAAAAAATTTACTTATGGGCAGTAAGAGCAAGTACCATCCGAAAACACTACAGTACAGATATATTTATTAATAAACACGTACGAAAGAAGAGGAACACATACGTTTATAAATAAAAGTGGCACTCACGCACACAGTGCATTGATCAAAACGGTACTACCCTCCAGTACTGCTGGAGTCAATCGCTACTTTGGAACCGCTACTGCATCGACTCCTAGATAAGATAATTTTCCAATTTTTCTATATCTTGAAAATCATGTAGTAACATAGCGGCCATGTGTACTATCCGCAATTGGAAAATCCGTAAACTTAAAATTGTAATATCTCAGCGAAGCAAAAAGATATTTGAGCAAACTCAACGCCATTTCAAAGAGAAAGACTTGTACTTGAACACCTTTTTTGTATTTTTTTGAGAATTACTCTGGCTTGCATACACAACTTCAAAAATGGGCAAAAACGGCATTTTTTGCACTTATAGGTTAGAATATCTCAAAATCCTGATGTGATAGAGCAATTCTGTGGCCAAATTTGAATTCAGCGCATCGAAAACCTTTGGGAAAGTATAGTTTGGTTTCTGGGTAAAAATTTTGTCGGCCTGTGTAATTTTTCAACTAATATTAAATTATTTGGAAAGATGTCAAAGGTGTAAGCATTTGGTTTGGTCAGATGCTATATAAGCAGAAACAAACTACTTTTTCTGAGGAAATTGGTTGAGCCATGCCGATACTAATGCATGTAAAACCTGCGCATGTGCAAAACGTACAATTATCCTTAAACTATCTCCCTTTGATTGCAGAATCCAAACACATTGCGCGGATAGGTTACTGCCAATATGCAAGTATTAAATACATATCGTTACCTTAATTCACAAATGCCCTATCTGCAGTTTTTGATTTACTTTTTATAATGTTTTATGCTTCTCCTGCAAAATAGAAAATTTGCCTTTGTAAATTAAGGTAACGATGTACCTAAATACATACGGGTCATTCCATACAATATTTACACCTCAATATTTTTTTTTTGGTGAAATATATTTTTTACACATTTTAAAAGAAGACACCTTTTTTTATTTCGTCATGATATTCGAAAATCTCGAAAAAAAACCTTCCCGAAATTTTGAACTCACGGAGGAGTACCTTAAATGATTTTCTCCAACAACTAGTTTATTAACTGGAAACAAAGAAAAAAAAAAATACTTCTCCGTGAGTTTAAAATTTGGGGAATTTTTTTCCGAGATTTTCGAATATCATGACGAAATTAAAAAATTGGTGTCTTCTTTTTTTCGATACAAAATGTAAAAAAATGTTTTTCACCCCAAAAAAAATATTGAGGTGTAAATATTGTATGGAATGACCCATACATATTTCTGTACATACATACACACATATTATCCGGCCAAAACAGCAATAATTATTTTTACTAGGAGAAGAAACCTTCCAGGCATGCACCCTACATATAACACTAGGAGGCATAGATATAGAAATGTGCAATGAGGTTAAGTATCTAGGGACAATTTTCGACTGCAAAATTTTATGGAAAAACTGTCGAGTACACTGCATATAGGGGTATTTGACCGATTTAGGCGGCCAAAATTATTTTTATGAAAATTTTAACTCTAAATGTTTAGAAACGACTTGTTACGATATTTAAAACTGTAAATGTTTAAAATCAAGTAAATAGAGGGGGAGGATGTCCAGGTATTCCACCAAAACAACGAAAATAAAGTTGCTTAAAGTTTGACATCCATCTTAACGAGGTCGGATTGCAGAAACATTGATACCCACGTATTCGTATTGGCGCTGAGATGGTTTATTCCTAGGTTAGAATATAAATAGTGTTGCCACCTGCTAAACAATTAAATGCAATTAAGTTAAATGAGTTACTACAATATGGGTATCAATCGAGATGGTTTTGAAAAGGCTTTCTTGCTAAACAATATGTGGGAGGATTATCATCTGTTTAAAAATTAAATTCAACTTTAATTCAAGGAAATTAGGTAACTGAAATATGTATAACAATATGGCTGTCAGACTAAAACCAAATTTTGGAGGATACTAAAAGAGAGGATATGTACAATAACTCATAATAAAAAGTTTCGACCTCTATCAAGGGGTGTCTGTACGACCTGAAGCATATATGTAACACTCGTGAATCTTTGTTATGTAATACAAATTTTCATAAGAACATTAGTCCGCGAAATTCGAGCGTTACGTATATGTAACACCAGCGTTTAAAGAGTTAATAAGGCTATAGTTTGAAACTATTTTTAGCAGGGTTGCCACCTGTTAAAAAATTAAACTCAATGTTTATATTAGGTTAAATAATTTTTAACAATATGGACATCTTCCAAAATGGCTTTGAAAGGGCTTAATGTTCAACTACTTTTAGTAGGATTGCTACCTGTTTAAAAAAATCAAATTCAAAATAACATATGATTAGAAAAAACACTATATGGACCAACCATTATATTAAGTTTTAATAAAATAATTTGAACCTTATCAAACACGTAGAAATTTCATACACTCATCGATCTAACTATAGTATATAGTAGTTTGTTTTATTTGAAATGTCTTTTAAATTTCATTTTTTAGTGCATATTTTGTGCCTTCTTGGAGTTAATAATTATCAAAATTGTTAAAGCCGTTTCCTAGAAAACTTTAGATATATATCCATACATATTTACAAGAATTGATTGTTTAAAGTAATGAGATGCATACATACATATATATAGTAGTTGCAAATTTTTACTAGAACTTGCCCTTAAGTAGAGATTTTTTTCTAAATGTACTGACAACTATTTTCTCCCTGCAACTTTCCAAATTTTTATATTGAACCCCTCCCCCCTTAACTTTGTTGGGCGTCTTGACTTTCCTATCACCCCCTTTACTCATTGAAAACTTTTACAGAAGGCTGGTACAATACTGCAGCAATATTTTCTGCTTATTTTTCAGCAGTAGTAAGTATTTCCAATGGTCACCGCACAGCAAACGTAAATTTTCAGCAGTTTTTTTGCGGTGGATGTACACAATGATTGTCAGGCCAATAGTTACATATGGCATGGTCTGGGGAGACTGCTTTCACCTGTTTAACGGGTGCCATGCGTACCTGTCCCATCGCGGCCCTGGAAGTAATCCTGGACCTGTCGCCACTGCACATAGTCATAGGACAGACTGCCAAGAAGACCCCTCCCAACTTCATGAGGGAGGGCACTGGAAAACGCAAGGTGGTTTCGTGCAGACTGGAAGACGAAATCAGAACCAGCTCAACAGAGGTGACACGGTTACGATAAGAGCCTTCGAGAAAAAGTTTAGAACCGAACTAAGCAGCAAAGGTAACCTGGAACGAGACAGTCTTGGACACCACCTTACGGCCCCACAACCCAGGGTGGTTCACAGGCGGTTCAAAAACCGACGAGGGTATAGGTGTAGGAATTTCAGGCGGGGGTTCTTGCCATCAATGATTGTGCAGAAGTATTTCTGCAGAGACAAAAATACAGCACATTGTCGTCTGCAGCGACAGCCAGGCTGCATTAAAAGCGGTTACGGTTAGTATGGGAATGTGTAAGGAGACTGAACGCCCTGGGGGAACTCAACACGGTATAGCTGATGTGGGTCCCGGGCCACAAAGGCATACAGGGCAACGAGGAGGCTGACAGGCTAGCTAGAGAAGCAGCAGCCATTCGACCTATAGGACCAGAATCCTTCCTTGCAGTCGGCCCTCACACTATCAGGGAAGAGTTAAGAGCAGAAGAACGGCACCTAAGTAGAGCACACTGGGAGAACAGGTCTGAATCAAAGCAGGCGAAAGAACTTCTAGGAAGCTAAATCCTCAGAAGATCTAGAGAACTAATCACACTCCACAAGACTAATTTGAGATTTATTACAGGACTGCTAACAGGTCACTGCAGGCTGCGGGCCAATATGCATACCATAGGGGTTAGCGCAGACGACTCCTGCCGCTACTGCGACAGGCTACCAGACACCTCACGGCATCTCCTCTTAGAATGTGATGCGGTGGCGAGAAGATAGATAACACACCAGAGAAGGCTCTGGCCGGAGGTTTCAGACATTCACTCTCTACAGCCCTCGAAACTGCTCGGCTTCATCAGAGCACTAGGACTGGACGAAGTGTTGTAATGAGCTCTTAGGGAACAATAGACCTTAGGTCGTAGTGAACATTCTCTAACAAATCTACTTTATTCTACATATCGTCGCTACCATGTCAAACTATCGAATTTGCAAAAATGCTTTTTCAATTACGATACCTTTCCCATCCGTTTAGATTGATACGCAAGTTGGCAAATCGTCAAATTTCTAGTCTTCTTATAAGCAGAGGAGACTGGCTTTAACAAAGTGTCGAATCCCACACTTTTTCCTAGTGACCGCAACAGTTTTTACAACAGTTTTCACTTTCGATAGTTTGACATTGTAGCGACGATATGATCTCAAGCAGGTGAAGACTGTCAGTTAAGTTTGAGAATTAACTCTAGATTGATCCGGATTAACGCTGCCGTTTGTCTATACTTATATATGCTGCAATATACATTCATCACCACGAGTATGAATAATACCATCCTTGACAGATTTTTACGTTCCATGTCTGTTTAGTATGAATTAGGCTGTGTGCAAAATTTGAGCCAAATCGAAGGCATTTATTTATAATCATACTTAGGGCCGTTTTCTAATGTAAGCAGTAAGGTTACCATTACTAACAGAGCAGATAAATTGTTCGTCACTTTGAAGTGTTTTCGTTTTCTTATTTTACCGGTAAAAATGAATTTGTTATTCCGTAGAGTGAAACTTCACTACATTCGCCATAAACCAAAAAACCAAAACCTTGGTTGAAATATCTAATATATCTGACTCATGAACCAAAACCAAACCAAAATTTAAAGTTGGGTACAAATTTTTAAATGTTGCATCGGGTGAGCAACATTTCATCGATTCGAGAAATTAATGCGCCGATGAGAAAACGAAAACTCGTATATCGAGACGATAAAGTGGCCGATAATCTAAAGGTTAGATGAGAAAATGGCCCTTAAACTCATAGTATGTATGTACATATATGTATTTAGGTTTACTTAATACTTAAAACTTGATGACCGCAAACTTGCAATTAATGTTTTATGTCATTAAAGGTACTTCCCTCTTACAACAAACAAATCGGCAAGCTTGAAGCAGAGTCTACGCGCTGGCGCAGAAAACTGTATGACGCTAATAAAGATTTGGAAAAGCTAAAGAAGGAAATTCAAGAATCAAAGTATGTGGAAATTTTAAAGATATACCAAAAAGGAAAGGATTTGGAGGTTCGTTATTCGAAGCAGGACATAAATATAAATCACATATCCGGCATAAATACAGAATTTTTGCGTGATTCAGATAAACTACGAAAGGCCTTTGGCATGGCATGTGAACTGCTACAAAAATCGCACCCCAATCTCAATAGTGATATGAAAGATAAATATGAACAGCTGCAGCATTTTATAAAAAATCACACATATTTTGGACATGATGATTATAAGAAGGACAGTGATAAAGATTTGGAAATACCAATACTGCAAATCAATGGTAAACGTGTCTATAAAATCAATACGGTCGATTTGCCTGCGTCTACGAGCACCGTAAAGAAGCCTCGTAGGAAAAGTCCAGAACTAGAAACTGACTATGAGTTAGGTTTAGATGTTATGGATGATACCGACTCAGACGATGGTATTAGTGTTTTCAAAAAACCTTCAACCATACCCAGTAATATGGATGAAACGCATGTGCTATCATGCACGGCCGATGATGAATACAGCACGAATTCAGACGTTAGCGCGATAAAGTCTACGGCATATAATAAAGAAAATAGTCAGTTATTGCGAAAAAACAATTTGGTCAGCAATATCCTGTCAGAGCAGATTGCAAGGGTTCCAATAAACAAAGATCGCGTTAAGAGTGGTAGTTATTGGTGAAAAACTTAAATCGCTTACAATAACTTATGATTTTTTGTTTGTTGCAGCATTACTTAAATCTAAAGCATTCAATCATCACAGCCTTCTAAAAACTGTAGCTGTTGGCGTTCAAAAGGAAAACAGAAAATTCAGTCCAATGAGAGTACGCAAAAGTCCGAGAAGTATAATGGTTAAGTGTAAGTATTGAAGCTCGGTAAATAATGAAACAATTTGTACCGAATTCTTACTTTCTATCTATACTTTGTAGCACTCGCGACCACGGCTAACCTAGTGAAGCGACAGGCAGTTCGCTCGGCCAATACCACTAGCAATGACCCAATCGTTCGAATAAATCGGGCCGCCTCTTTTCGAGTAAAGAAATAATATCGCCTTAAAAAAATTTAAATCAAATACATATTTCTTTCTAATGTAATATAGTTTACTCATTTATATCGTACACTCTCATATACAAACGCTTACGTGCATCCATACATTTGTATTATCTATACCATGATAAAAACATAGCAAGGTATAACCGTTCTCTCAATTTGTCGGCCATGATTTTTTTTTGAAGTTTGCCAACATTTTAAAATCATATAAAAGTGAAAATAAAAAATTGAAATTGTTCGAAATTGTTGTTGCTTGAGATTGAAAATGAAAATGTGTGTGTGAGCTTGTGAGTAAATTTAAAAATTAAATTGTTTGGAAACGTCAAGAATCTTAAAAGTGACTCTCAGCGGTTCTACCTTACTATATTTGTATCATGATCTATACATTACGTACATATATTTAATTCTACATACGTTTTTTTTTAAGAAAACAGGTTTACAAATTTGGATAACTTACGGCAACATAGTATAACGTTCGACGTAAGATATGTGTTTGGAGAAGCACCAAAATTCTTAAATTATAAGTCATATAATTTCAAGTAATTCAAATATGCCCTCCACTGTATTTCGTCTTGTCACTCATATTCGTAATTTGTTTATTTTAACCATTTGCTGTCATGTTCATATGTATCTATTGCTTATTAATTTCTGATAACAGTTCTTTAAGCTAATTTTATTTTGTATAAAAGGTCTGTCCTTGAAGGCTGTAAAGGTTATTAAAGAGAATCCGTTTCGCGAAATACACATCTTGGTTAAACTATCGTGTTTTAATTTGATCGCTTCTTGGCAAAAAGGCTTGCCAATTGTCCAATATGTATATGAAAATTTCACCATTCCATCCCTGTATTTACATATGTATGTATTTTATTGCGTCTGCGAATAAATTCAAATTTAATTGTATTTACTGCTGGTATCATCTCTTCTAAAGTTCATATGATGAGGTATACCAAAATTTAATCCACCTGTGGCAGCCGATACCGTTGACATAATGCTAACAATTAAGTAGAAAAGCATACCAAGATTTAGGATAAGCATCAAAGCCAGTGGTAAAGGCGTGGTTACGGTACCGACTGCAAATTGGTTGACATTAGCTGGCGTGGTATGAGCTAGAACACTGTGTGGCTTGTAATATCCAAATGCATCTATCGGCGGCTGATTTGGTTGAGTTAGTTGATTTTTGTAATGCAGTGATATACGTTCCCAGGGGTCTTCAGTTCGGCGGTTTTGCAGGATATTGAGACTGTTTGCTTCAATATCCTTCTGTTCTTCTCCTTGGTTGTGAGTTGGGTTAAGTGTCAACAAAGTATAACGCTCACTGTTATCTTTCCTTGTGGCCGCTTTTAGCGAATATGGCAAAACTGCAGCCTCTGCATGAGACACATTTTCGCCATCTACGTCATGCGCCAAAACAGTATGATGCAAAACGTACAACAGCAGTGTAAGCATAGTTAAATACCACATATCCGTAACTTCCACAGTTGCTTACAATAGTGTCATCTGTGTACACATTACAGATCTTTTATAGTACCCTTTACTTTCTTCTGAGTATTATTTGCTTAAGTGACTACACAAATACTGTGCGTGTTCAATGGTTCAATGAGTTTGAATAGATGTTTTTTTTTATTACACACACCATTACACATTTATTATTGTCCTCAAAAA